ATCGGGAAAACCATCGAGACAACCATCTGGAGAACCATTGGGACAACGACCGGGACAGCCAACTGCGCAACCATCGGGCCAACAATCGGGACAGCCATCGGGACAACCAACGGAACAACCATCGTGACAACCATCGGGTCAACCATCGGGGCAGTCATCGGGGCAACCATCGGGGCAGAACCATCGGGACAAACATCGGGAGAATCATCAGGACAACTATCGGGAGAACCATCGGGAGAATTATCCGGACATCTATCGGGACAAACAGCTGCGCAATCATCGGGCCAACAATCGGGACAGCCACCGGGGCAACCAACGGGACAACCAGCGTGACAACCATCGGGGTAACCATCGCGACGCTCATCGGGACGACCATCGGAACAGAAATATCGGGACAACCGTCGGAACAACCATCGGAACAACCATCGTGCCAACCATCGGGGCATTTACCGGAACGACCATCAGGGCAACCGTCGGGTTTGTCATCGGGGCAGCCATCGGGGAGTCATCATGAAAACCATCGGACAACCATCGGGGCAATCGACGGGACAGCCGTCGGTTGAGCCACCGGGACAACCATCGGGACAACCATTGGAACAGCTTTCGGGAGAACCATCGGGAGAACCATCAGGACAACCATCGGGAGAACCAGCTGGATCACCATCGGCACAACACGCGGGGCAAACATCGTTGCAACCATCGGGACACCAATCGGGACAACCAACGGGAGAGCCATTAGGAGAGCCACCTGGACACCTATCTGGACAGGCATCCGGGCAACCATAACCATACTTCTCGTTCTATCCGTATCACTCTCTATCGGAATCGTTTCCTACCAATCGATCGCACTTTTCAATCTTCCTGTCGAACTCACTCTCTGTTTATCGCCAAACCATGGTGAGTAACGGTAGGGACCTCCATCACGACAACCATCCGGACAACCATCGGGACGACCATCGGGGCTACCATCTAGACAACCATCGGTTAACCATCGGGATAACCATTGGGGCAACCATCAGGACACACATCGGGACAGCCATCGGGACAACCATCGGGAGAATCATCGGGACGACCATCGGGACAACCATGGGGACAGTCATCGGGACAAGTTTCGGGCCAACCATTGGGACAACCATCAGGGCACCTATCGGTACGACCATCGGGAGGACCATCGGGACAACCAACGGGACAATTTTCACACAGCCGCCAGCGCGCAGGGCGACTCACTTTTGTCCGACGTGGCCCTAGCCAGTGGGCGAGCTCCCTCAGCTTCGCCTCACCCTCTCGCACGTCTCGCGCGAAACGAAACGATTTCCCCGTCGGGGCACCTGACGTTTCACCGAGTTTTCACGCTCCAGTTTCCGATTCAGGAGCCTTACTGCATTCCGCCCAGTTGTTGCTGATTGGTCTCGTGTTCCACGTCTGTTGCGGGATTGTGTGGGGTCCTCTTGCTTCGGGTGTTGCTTCGTTGGCGCATTTCATGGCTCCTGCTTCCTTTTGGGGGCACCCTGTGGCTTTTGGGGGGGCCCTGGGGGACGATGTTGATGTCTCTCTCTCTCTCTATATATATATCTATGTATGTGTGTATGTGTGTGTGTTTGTTTTTGTTGGCGGTCCTCGGGCCGTCCTGTAGGACAGGACTACCGGGGCCCCTGCGAGTTGTCCTTTTTCAGTTTTTGTTGGAGCCCTTTTTCTTCTGTGCGGTTTAGGGGGGGCCTCTTCGGCCGTCTTGGGGCCCTCTTGGGCCATGCCTGGGACCTCTGCGGGTCTTCTTGGACGGTGATGAGCCGGTGAGGGGGGGGGGGGCTCGCAGGCCGCTCATGGTGTTGGCAGAAGCGCTCGAACGGTCGAGAACGCGATTATTTCAAACATACAACAAGATTGAAGTACGACTTCCGTTTCGAAGCCCTCTTTGGGTTCTTTTGGAGCTTTCCTGCGGCGTCTGGGGGGTCTTTTGGTTCGTTTGCAGGCCATCTTGGGTGTTCTTGAGGCCGCTCGGGCGCGTGGGCGCCCGTCTTGACCATCCTGCAAGGCATCTGGGGCATGTTGGAGGTGACGGAGGCCGGATCTGGAGGCTCCGGAGGAGGTGCGTTGAGGAGTTCGTATGCCCACCCGCTACACGAGGTGTTGTGCCCTAGCGGAGGGGGAAAGGGGGCAGGGGACAGCCACACGTCGTCTCACACGCCTTTCTATGGAGGGGCGGCGGACTCCAGATCAGTCTCTTTCAGTCTCCTCCTGCGCATTCCTTTCCTCATCCGCAGCTACGTTTGCTCATGGCACTCGTTTTGGTTGGGACCGTCCTTCGGACCATCAGGGGCGCCCGAACTTCAACTATGTCTTCCCACCACTACTACATTCATGTTATCACGTATACATGCCTGGCAGCGGGGGCGCAGGTGCAAGCGTTGTCAGACCGTACGTATGAGTCCAAGCACAAGCGCTCAAACGTCAAAGCTCGGATGTCGCTGACAGCTCAGAGCTCGGATGTTGCTTACTATTTCTCAGATTGCTGTGAGCTCCCTGCCCAAGTCATCGAGTTGCCTGCGGCACGTCCCGTCACCGTGCCAGCACAACACTCTAGCTGTCGACTGTTCGAGGAGCCTACAGGAGGCCGTCACGCGTGACACCTCGTGCCCCGATGCTTGGGACAGCTGCAGCGCGTGACACGCTCTTCACGAGCTTCCACGCCGTGTCGGGGTGTCCAACCTCGTGTCCGTCGTCTTCTTCCTCCCTTCCTCTTCTTCACCTCTTTCTTGGGGCCGCTCGGGGATCTTTCGGAAGGGCGCCTTGCGCGCCTCTTGGAAGCTCCCTGGACCGTCTCAGGGCGCTCTCGGGCAGTCTGGCGACCCTCTCTCTCTCTGAAGCCGTGGGGCATGCCGCCTGCTTGGTTCCTCCTTGGGGCGATCCTGGGCCGCTCTGAGAGTACCGAGGGCCTCGCCCAGGAACTCTGGCACTCCTGACTCTGATCCCGACGGGATGCTTGACGTCCATACCCAAGGGGCCGCCCCGCAAGCGCATGATTAAGAAACCTCCCCCCGAATAGCTGGCCCAGTGTTTCTTAACCAACTTGCCGGAAAGCTGGCTCAGTTTCTTAAGGGGATCGACAGTTGTGGATCCTAGAAATGAATAGCGCACGTTCCTGGCTCCAAAAGCTGGCCCAGAGTTCCCTTAAGAATCTTCTGAAAAAGCTGGCCCAGCTTTCTTAATTGATAATTGTCTTTATCTTATTGTTGTCTGTGCAACTTTTCGGAACCTCTTATTCGAGATTTTAGCACGCCTCTGTTCCGCTGGGCCGGCGAGCTGCTCTGTTCGCAGAGGGGCGCCCGGATGTCCCGAACCCTTCCCTGGGGCTGGCTGACTACAGGCCTCGGAAAACATAGCGAACCCTCATGCTACATTCGTCTGCCCACGCATCCCCCTCCCCCCAGTGTTCAAAGTTGGCGGTGGGCCTGATGAGTTGCACCTCGACCGCGGTCTCCCCCGCGCGTGCCAACTTCGAGCTTGGGGGGGCAAGGGGGGGGGGGTGCTCACCTGCTGCTTCCCTCTGCCGTCTTCGTCCTGCATCGTTCTCGACGGGCCCGGGGTCCGGCGAGGGGACCCCGGAGGCCCAGAACGACGAACACGACTCCGACGCGCGATGGGGGTCCTTGGCATCGCTCGGACGTGTGCATTTTGTCTTCGGCGAGGGCCATCGAGGAGCATCCTTGATCATTTGGCGAAACAGCGCACGAAGCCGACACAAAAACAAAGGGAATGGACGTCCGAGCGATGGCCAGGGTCTGGGCTGCGGAGGTCCCACCAGGCAGCACCTGCCCACAGGTCTCCCCAAGCAGGGCCAGAGAACAGGGGGGACCGGAGGATCGCGCCGCACAGTCGATGCATCGATGATGCGATTCGACGTGGGGCCCGCACTTCTCGGCGTCCCCGGCGCCGATGCGTCGCCGACGTCGCCGACGCATCTACTCGGACCCCAGTTTGGGAGGCCTCGAGCTTGGGCATCCCACCACGCCTCCGAGTGCCGGCGGGGAGGGGTGGCGGATCACCGTCGCCTCCGAGTGCGACGAGGCCGCGCGGGCGCTCGGCCTCGCGGAGGGCTATTCCGGGGGCCGCCAGAGGTTGCCGCTGGCCCACCCGTGCCCCCCTTCGGCTTCTCCCCCGCCGCTCTGCAGAGGGCCCTTCTGTTTTGACCGAGAGATCGATCCGCCGTGGTCTCGATGTTGGCCGGCCCGATCCGATTCGGCTCCGATATTTCGGGGATGGACGCAACCCCCTTTAGCAACACGTGGTTTAGTGAAAACGGTCTCGGGCCCAAACCTGGCGGGCGCCAGCCTGGAAAATGGCGGCCGCGGCGCCCTTTCGAGAACCGAGAACGGACAATTCACTAATCGACGTGTCAGGGTGGGGGTCTCTGTCCACCCCCGAATCATCTGACGGTCCGACGCGGCTGAATATTCGCCTGGCGCCGTTGCGCATCCTGGCGCGACCGATCCGATGCCCGTGCCGTTGAACGGGCCGATCCGATGCCTGTGCTAATTTTAGGTCGGATTTTCCAGTTCGGTGCTGAAGGATCCTGCCCACAGGGTGAAGTCGGGCCTGTCCCTGCACAGAAGGAGTATTCAAAAAACGTAGAAACATAGTCTGGGGACAATTTTCTACTATGTTTGACCAGTTGGGGTATTTGTTCCAGTTTGATACGGAAGGATCCTGCCCACAGGGTGAAGTCAAGCCTGTCCCTCTACAGGAGGAGTATTCAAACAC